AGCTGAAGTAAGAGTGGACATTATAGAAGAGGCAGTACTTAATATGGATCTCACACTTTCCCAGCATATCTAGGAATTTATATCAAACAATAAATAGGCATTATGCAAATGTATACAAGTATTCTTTATGCAGCTGATCAACACTCAACATAAAATCAAATAATTTATGAAAAAGGAAAGGCTGCTGACAAAAAAGTACATATGAAGAGAAACTAGAGCAACCAGATTGCCTGGAGAAAAATTCGAATAAAAATACTGAAAACAATGAGACCCTGGAAAAGAAACCAGATAAAAATGCGAAAACACTGGGAAAGAGACAATCAGAACTTCATGTAATGATCAAAGCAGTTATGAAAATTAAAAAAAAAAAACTAAATATGACCAAAAAACTGTAAAAGATGAATATTAGTACAACAAAGGTGATGATTTGGTTATAATTTGTCCTCCACATACCGTAGGTAGGAAATAGATAGCCCAGTGTGGAAGTAGGCTGTATGTTAAACAAAACAAATAAAATGAGATGTCCTTTGTGTTATCTTTTGTCTTTGGTGTTACAACATCTTTTTGGACATACAAATACTTGTACATGTATCGATCAATGATTCTAGGTCCTATGATAGTAATTCTTCATTATTCATGCATAACTTATATTTATTTTTTGTTGATGTTTACGTATCTTTATAATTGGACAATTATGTCTATGTTGTTACTTTTTAATCATTGGTGTTACTTGTCAGACTCCAAATGTAAAAAGAAATGAAATCCAAAGCATTTCTTTTCTTAAAATCATATACTTTCATTAACATCTATTAGATAATGCCATTGTTGTGTTTTTTGCAGGGGAAGGGGAACAAATTTATTATTTATTCTTAACGTTTGAACAAAATGTCTTTTGTGTTACTTTTATGTCCTTTGTGTTATGGAAATGTCCTTGGTGTTACTCAACCATTTTTCCTGAATTTATATTCTAAATCTTTCCACAATTTTGTCAAAAACTGCTACACAATCCTGCTGTCTTCTAATACGAAGTATGTTTGCAAAGCCAGTGTTTCATGCTGAGGTAAAATGACATATGCTTAAGGTATATATGTAAGAATAACCAAATTTTATGATTTTATCAACTTTAAGCTTCATGTCATCTAAAATTTCTCTCTCAAGAACGCTCAATGTGTTTCGATAGAATATCTTTTATCAGGATGTTTAGATTATGATTCTAGAAACCTTAAGTTTTTGTAATTCATTATTTTATTGCTAATTCTAAGTAAGTAACACCATGGACATTTATTGTTGGATGCATGTACTTATAGTGGATTTTATAGTAAATGTTGATAGAATTCTTAGTGCTTCAGCATTATTTACGCATCTCTGATGTGTCATTGTTAACATAAAACTTTAAAATATTAAGTTCTCAGAATTTATTTTCTCTGAATTCTGTTGATGGAATCTGGACAAAATTTGAGAATGACCCAGTTAATAACTTTTGTTTTTCCTGCAGCTCTGATGTTGAAGTTTATTTGAAAAGGTTGCTTTAGCTATTCTATACGTTATTTATATTTCAAATACGTTCAAATCATTTAATAAGACATACATTGTATTCGTTATAATTTAATCAATTCGCTTCAATGATTATAAAACATTTTATTATTATTTATGATAAATACGAAAGAATAAAGTGTTATTTTTAATAATAACAAGACATTTTACTGTAATTTATAACAATTACATGTAAAAGACATTAATTTTATAATATACACTAGTATTGTATATTATAAGTTTAAATTTTGTCACATTATATTTTAGACAAATTTGGATTGAACTTAAGTATTTTTTTCAAATTAAAAAAATAATCAATGCATTTTGTAGAAATATGCACATGATTCTGTATAAGCATATACATTCACTCAGTCTGTGTTTACGGTTATTAATAAAACTAGCAAGTAAATTTGATCAATATGCAGCGTAATTAAAATCTCAAATAATTTTTCTTAAAGAATAAAACAAATATAATTTAAAGCCTGGATTATCATAATGTTTAAGAGAATTTAATCAAAATAACATTGAAGTTAAAAATAACTGATGTCATATTGCTTGTGTGTTTTGAAAGGAGGGGGGAGGAGGTGTATATGTGAGAGTCTGATTATACTATACTGTACTATACTCACTATTATTATTTTCAAAGTATGCATTACTATCGCGTTTATTTTCATGACGATTGATAATAATTATTCTTTTTTAACTGCCCGCAATGTTGAAAAGACGCAGAGATTTGCATGGTTATCACATGCAAATTTGGAATAAGTATACCAGTATATGCAATATATAAAAGCTGACAAACGCATGTATATGCACATCTGCAGAACAAATTCAACTACAACTATTATGAAAGAAAACAGTCACGTAGAATACGGGGACCCCATTTTTTCTGACTATATAGTATTTTCTCAATTATAAGTAAAATTTCCTGTAGATGGTGGTTGCTCCTTCTTTTCCTGTAAGGCCGAGCCACTAAGAAATTTTGGCCAGTTAATTATATTTTTCCAATCTGTCAGATATGGTTTAGGAAGTTGCCCCTCCTCCCCCTTTGAGTCCAAATCATTACCATTGGATGGGAGTATATATTACAGTGTTCCTCAAACAACCCGTTTGGGATAAAATATCCAAGATGGGTTATTAATTTTTATTTCGGCAATAAATATCATAAATCCGCATCAAAACACTTTAGAAGGAATATCTTTTGGTAAGCAAGTTTTTTTCTGCAACCCTACAGGTTGTTAGATTGATCCCCAAGAAGTTATGGAACTTCTGAGGGATCAGTCTCCTAAATAATGGGCATACGGAAAAACTTGTTAACCAAATGTCATTCCCTTTGAAGTGTTTTGATTCGGATTTTTGATATTTATTGCCAAATTTGTTTTTCTTCATTTTTTGCACTGTAAATTTATATTCCATTTGGGATATTATATCCCAAACGGGCTAAATTATATCCCAATTGGGCAAGTGGTCCCAACCTTTCAAATGTCAGTGTCAAATAATTTTCTGACGTTAAAAAAGTATACCATGGTCAGGTATATATAGACAAAAAGAAAACATACCAGCAATACCAGGTCAAAATTTAAATCCCCATTTTAAAAGTGTCGAAAAGTAATACATACATACAAATACATAGATATGATAAATGTTTTGTTTTAATAGCTTCTTACGTTACACAGTTGGAACTAACAAGTCCCCTTCGTATTCTTCAATTACTGGAACACGTTCTATATTATCATTATTTCTTTGTCATTGTTATGTTTTCTTTTTCTTTTTTCCCGAGGTGCCGTGAAAAGAACAAAGCAATTAAGTTTACTGAATGCATTATGCACCCTTACAACAGACTATCGGCTTAAACAAACCAGTACAAGTGAAAAAAATGGTGGCCTTTACGGATTATGAATATGAAAACAAACTATGTAGTCCTGGTCTTCTTTTCTCTTGCTTGGACAACCAGTTCTAGTGAGTACTATATTGTATATAAATATGTCAACAATCTGCTTTTGAAACAATATACTGAAGGGCGATATTCAAACAATTTCATCGCTTGCATTATTTATATTCGTTACGAACATTATACGTATATAGCAAATTACATACGTCAAGTATGCTTATGACCAGCTATGAAAAGCACTCTCATCATTCAATGCATTACATAAATGACGCACAAGTATTCGCAAATTCAAAGAATTGTGATCCCCTGCTTTCGGTGTCCTAGTAGACGGGGTGTCAATATTTAAGGCATATTGTGTCATATATGAATGCCTTTTAATACATGTACAGTGTATGTCATTCAGAAGTAATCAGCAAAGTTAAACTTTTTAAAAATTGGGTCCAACATGAATGTCAAGGTCAATTAAGAGTAAAAATCATATGCTCGGAAACATCTTGTCACGGATAATTATAATGTAGATATCAAATATGAAAGCCCTAGGCTACATGTATAACTTCTCAATAAAAAAATTATTAGCCTAAGATTTTTGAAAAGTAGGTCAAACTTCAAGATCAAGGTCACATGGTAGAAAAATATAGTATTTATTGAAAGGTCTTAAAAAGTTGTCACAGGTAATACTCATGTGTTATTGTGTTATATGAAAGTCGTATCTTTTCTGGCTAATAAATTGTGACCAATTTAAAGTTATAAATGTAATAATTTTTTTTTAAATTCAAACTTTAAGGTCAAGGTCACAGGGGCAAAACTCATAATCACCTTTAGAGTTTTTAAAGTGTCAAAAATAATTAAATTGTTTGTTATTGCATCAGAAAGTTGTACAGTGGGGAACCCTTTGAGTGTGAATGGAACCACAGTAAGCTGCCAACGCGGATCTAATAACTGCCCCGCCCCCTATAGATGTCAGGGTGGGTTTACTTGGATACCACAACTGGGGCCCAACGGACAGTGTTGCAAAGGTACGGGTCTATGAACATGTGTAATTAAAGGTGCCGGTATGTGTGTTTGTGTGTGAGGATGTACATCTTGCTCACGTTAAATGTAATCTTATAATGTTCATAAAAATTATATTTGAACAAAATATACATCTTTTTCTTAGATCCGTATACATTACTCTGTGGCCCGTGCATTAAATTTCACGATATTCATTACAAATTTGACGAAAATGGAAGTTGGTTTAATGTTAGCCTCTCCTTCAAATGGAATGAGAAAGACTGCAGGGAGTCAGCATATCTGCTTAGGTGGGACCCTTTCGTAAGAGTATTAGTGAGAGGAGCCAACAATGAAACTTATGTTGAGAAGTATTTATACTGCAGAAGGACTGAGGTATCACTATAGATTTGATTACTTTTATCATAATTCTGCTGCAGTTAGGAACAAAAAGGTTTCAGTTAAAAACAAGCGAAGAAAAAAAAGCTATTTCATTTTTATCTCACAGAAATGTCAAAAGTTACTAGTAATTTTCTTTTGTAATGAATCATGCATATGTGCATGCTTACGGTCATTTAATATTGACTTCAGAAACCCTGTGGAAAATTTTTCTCTATGAAGATTCGATCACAAAAATATGATGTACTGGTAAGTTTATGGATGTAAAATTGTAAATACATGTATGAAATTATTTTTTATAATTATGCTAAAAAATATTTCTATATTTCAAAAATTACCAATCATTTTCTTAAATATTTTTCAGTTTCGTGTCGAGATCGCCGGTTCTTCAAATATCTGCAAAGATATTGGTATAAGACAGAAACCTCATTCCAAACAATTGTATATTTTATTAAACACTGACAGATTCAAAATAAATCTGAGTTGCTGAGTCGTTTTATGATGACACAAAAACAAATGGAAGAGAAATATGGAATAAAATTTAAAACTTGTTCAAGCTACGTATAAGTAACGAACAATTAATGCCCTTTCATGGTATTGAATACAAATCCAATATCAAGTTAAGTTGTAAGAGTTATGGAACTTATACAAACGCTTAATATTCTAATCTCGGAAAACAATCCGGTTCTGTTTTACTCTATTTCAGAAATTGTTAAAGTAACTCCACCACCTTCAAAATCAAAATTCCCCACAACTTTAATTCCACACAGACCCCGTATTGATCTGAGGGTGGTGATATTGAGTGTATTGGGTGTGATCGTGGCTTCAACGGTCGGTATTTACTTACTGTGTTGCTGCCTGGGAGGAGAACCTGGGGATGGGGAGGAATCCAATAATAGAGAACCATCTGAAGATAGACCCATAGTCTTACACGGTAATTATAATGATCAAATCTTATCTATACCAATCTCTAATATAGAAATTGAATGCCAAATCAAATGTTTTAAAATTTCAAAATATGCCAACATGCATGAAAGCTATTTATGTCTTCATGCAAGAAAATTGTGTAACATGTACGTAGCTTATAGGTTTCCAATCTTATTAGAGAAAATAATTTTAGTATGGGTAAATTTACTTACTAGTATTAACACCAGTTTCTGACATCAAACATGCAAGATGCAACATAATTATGGTGACATGCGACTTACATGTATTTAATATGTTAACATGCGACACAATTATGTTAACATGCAAGACATTTATGTCAACATGCGACTTATGTATGTCAACAGTCACAGAACTTGCCGAAGAGATATCAATTCTCGGCCGAATAACATTCGATATTTTTGATGCCATATTTACCTGTTTTAATTGTCCAAATATTTTTTTGATTTCCTAGAAGTCCTTGAGCATGTTGAGTCGGTCGAAGAGATTTTTGTGGTGGCTCTGTCAGGAGTTGGTCTAACTTTGATCAGAGAACTAGATAATCATACGGGAATAAATTTTCTCACCATTGACCAATTCCAAGAAGATATCTGCCATAATTCAATAGAATGTATTGCCAACGTGGAATTAAAATTTAACACTATCATGATTCTGTTGACAGCAAACCTTGTAAACGATAATGAAGACCATTCTAATCCTCTAGACGTGATTTCCAAGCAACTCTTTAGTAAGCTGCGCCATTCAGCTCTGCTCAATAATAGAACGCATTTCTATGTTTATTTGGAATCACCTTCCATCATCCAAAGACATTTTCCCTGCATCCGTACCAGGAATAATAAATATGATCTATCTACAGGACATATGAATGATAGCCCAGATTTTTTCCACCTTGTATATGATCTGAGAGCTACAGCAAATGCTGATTTGTCTTTGAATGCTACAAATTAATTTTTATGTCTCGAAACAAAATTCATGCCTCATTGTAGAAAACGTTATATTGTAGATTGTTGTCATGAAAGAACAATACTGTCAGGCTCTTTTGAAGCCCCTTTGATAGATTTTGAAAGGAAGGAGGATTATAAAGGCGAAAAGACACCTTAAAAAGGAAAAACGTTTGTTTAGAAAAAGTATCGGAGGGGGAAGGGGGTGTCAGCAACACCCCCCCCCCAGACACACACTTACGATCACCACCCAAAATATATTCGCCTAATGTTACGTTTATGAGTAAACATGAGTAAAAGTAAATAGTAGGTGTTTCTAAAATTATTTGTATCATTTTGGAATTTTCCGATCTATTTTTAGATCAATATAGAGAAAATAAATCCTAATATTCACCCGGAACTCACATGCAGGTAAATATGCCGTAGTATTTTTTCTACATAGTTAGATCTCAGCCAATCGGAATGATAGGTATTATTCTATCATATAATTATATCTCCCTGATAATCCTCCATCTTTTCAAAATCTACCATATAAAAGTGCCAGGCATTATTTTATTTCTTTCATGGTAACTAAAATAGATTTAAAACATTTCAAATTAATGCGACTGGTGAGGTTTATTTACATTGAAACTCTGCTTCTCTCTTTGCAATTGGTTAGAACAATATGCAGTAAGTAATGACTTGTATCATTTAAGTGTAATCATTGAATCATATGATAAAACAATTAGTGCTGTTTTTTTTTCAGCCAATAAGGTGATTTAGCCACCTTCGGGCTCGGTGAATATTGTACTCCTCAGATGGCTAAATCATCGTATTGACCTCAAAAACAGCAATAATTGTATAGTATTAGGATATATACATGTATAATATATTGTTAATTGGATGACAGAATATTTTGCATAGTATACTAATAATTATTTAATTAACAATACAGTTCTCTCGACTACGCTGAAAATATAATTTCTGTTTGAAAAAACAGTCTTTGTTAATCTTCTTGATTTACATTTTTAAGGCATTGCATGTACGAGAGCTGTTCGATAAATAATGTCCTGAACTCTATGACATACAACACAGATATCATATGACATAAAGCTTGACTTTCTCTCATGATTTAAACTTTAATGAATTGATATCATTTTATGTGACCACTTTTCATCACACTATTTTAAAGAAACATTTGACAGTAAAAAAGCTTTTAACTCAAAGGTCACCCTATGTTTTGAAAAATAAGTAAAAACTTCAGCGTGTAAGTATATCTAAAAAAAAATTTTTAAATCATAGGATCTGCCATATTCCAGTATACGAAGGACCATACTCAAAAAAGAGCGCTAAAAACAATCAGATATTGGATAAAAATGTTACGGACATGGCATGTGTTTTTATCAAACGAGAATATTTAAGTTAATTCATTAAGACTAAATCATTGAAAAGCGTCTTGCTTCTTTCCAAGCACTGAGGACATTATTTATTGAACAGCCCTCGTTTAAAGTGTTTTTATTATCATAATGTATAAGCTATATAATTATTACTTGATTGTGTATAATTTTATTTTGTTATGGTTATTATGCTTACATGTATGTTGTTTTAGTTGTCATAACAAATAATTAAACATTTTTCATTATAAAAGTTAGCAGTATTCTATGAATAATAAATTTATAATGTTTCAAAATTGTAAAATAATGTAGTAAGACTGTGATACTTTACTGTTATTTATTCCTTACTTTCTTGCATGTAAAGCTTTCCAACGAAAAAAATAATTTAACAATTATAAGCTCCGATTTGATTTTAATCGAGTTCTTTGGTATTTATTTTCAATTGAATTAGTTGTTTTGTATATCTATAAGAGGAGTTATCCAGAACTTAATTATCTATAACTACCCCGAGTCAGGCAATGCCAGTCCCTTTAATTATATATGCATACGTTTTTTGAGCTGCCAATAAAAAAAAATTAATGTTTACATTTTGACCAATTGCTTTAATTATTTTGACATTGGAATATTTCTTCACTGGTGACTTTATTGAAAGAAAATGATTTGGTAGAAGTTTTCTTTAATGTTGGTGTGGAGATAAAAACACTCAGGTTTAAATGATACCTGGTAGACAAGATAGGTTCCTTGTGAACTGGCACATATAAGGTGGGTAAAAATCGTCATTCCTTACGACTTAATGTTTTATATCCGCTATTCTCAAATTTAATTATTTTATTAAAAGGTAAAATATAGAATGTGATATCCTGCTAAAACTCATGTACATGTATTTGTGTATAAAGAAAATAATATACTTGCATGGTTTAATTAACTCAATGAGGTTTAAGATTATCAAAAACACGTTGAATACATGTAAGAAGTTAAAGCTGGTTCACTTACCAGCAAGAATGTAGAGATATCCAAGAGAGGTGTTTTTTTAATGGAAAACTGCAGATTTGGATATCTTTCGAGGGGCTTCATTGAATAACAGAAATAGAAAACAACAATTTTTAGAGAGGAATTTTCTGGATTTATCTAATATTATTTTGAATGTCACTTTTGCCGTGTAAAATACGTTGATAATTTTATCTGTTTCTCTATTCCAGCACCTTGTTGTGATGTTTTAGGAATGCTTTTGTTAATTCTAACTTCAGGTGTATTTACATCTGCCCGGATAGCTGGAACAACTGAACCAGGTTTGATTATATTTTAAAAGAATTTCAATGCAATCATTTGATGTCCTCATTTACCAGAACATTCATGCCTGACCACCATTTAATGGGGATACTTCATCAGTTGCATGCTGAATTTCTTCTTTTTAGCTAATGCTTTCGACAAATGATTCATTGGAATCACTTCGCAGTCTTTAGCAATAAAACATTTGGAGATTAAGAACAGTATTCAAGATCAAAAGTCCATAAAACAATACAAAACAGAAGCAGGGCTAACACGGACCTCCAAAACAACAGAGGTGGGATCAGATGCCATGGAGGAGTGAGCATCCCCTGCCGACCGGTCACACCCACCATGTGCTCCTTATCATAATCAGGAAATAACGGAAAAATTCGTCGTCAATTCAGTGTATCGTTCACGGTAGCTCAGTCGGTAGAGCGCTCGCTCCGTGATCGGGAGGTCGTGAGTTCGTATCTCGGCCGCGACTGACCTAAGTCGATAAAAAATAGGTAGCAATTGTTCCTTCGCCATGCGCTCAGCACTTTGAAGTGAAAGTTGCGGGTATTAGGATCGAGAATGAAAACCGAGGCCCCGTGTCAGCGGCAGGCGTTGGCACGATAAAGATCCCTCACTGCTCAATGGCCCTGAGTGCCGAGTATAGGTCAAAATTTGAAGCCCTTCACCGACATACGGTGACGTCTCCATATGTTTGAAAAATTCTCGAGAGGGACATTTAACAATATGCAATCAATCAATCAATCAACCAATTCAGTGTATAAATAATGGACTAACTATTAGTATAAAAAACGTTAGTCAGCATTTTGACTCAATGTTTAATTGTACTTGCTTACAAGATCATTGTATCGACCATATAACTTACGAAATGATGACTTTAAACGAGACTTCTGAAATTCTTGTTTCATCAACTTGTTTGTCAAAAAATTACATCGTTTTAGAAATTGTTCATACGTAGAGTATGCTCTTGCTTATCGAATCATCTGAGATATATAAACTCCGTGTGCAGGTTATGAAAGTACTAGTATATTGCTGCATAAGTAAGGGAATTTGACGATAGTAAAGTCAAAGTCATCACGCACGTTTATAATAGAGCTTGGTTGTTAGATTACCATTGACGTCTTTTCAAGTAACATATCCAAATATGAAACAGATGTTCCAGAATCTTTATCTAAAGCTCACTAGGATATATCGTATCGACATAAGAATGGAATTTGCCATAATTGTTAATTGACAATACGCCGTCAACATATCTAAGTGTCGAGTTA